TTTTTTTGGCTGGCCCTTTTCGTATTTGTTTTGCATCTCTTAACATCATGTTAGCAGTCCCTAATGGAGTCTAACCATGTCATGTTTCTCAGCACTAATTAAGAAAGCTTCCTCAGGACTAACTGTTCATATGCCGTGATTTGACCTCTAAGGGGCTTAGTTTGTGTTGCATTGTGTCCGTATTTGAATGGCTAACATGTCTTACCCGTTGCTGCTAATGTATTGTTTAATCTAAAACACATGGCTCTCTTGCCATTATTGTTTGGTGCTTTGACGGATAGTATCTTTTTTCTTGTCTGTTGTTTAGTCAGTGTTTTATAGCCAGTCAGATGTTTAAGATGTGTATGGTCTTCAAATTCAGGTTTCATTCAGGTCATTTATTGGTTGTCCATACCGCAGTGCTCAGTGGATGGCACAAGTACATTTTAAAAAAAAAAAATCCTCTTTTTTTTTTATTCAGGTTCATTGGCAAAATTTACAGACAGCTTTCAGCTGTCAACACAACAAATGTTTCAAGTGGTTTCCACAAATTCAACTAAAAATGCAACTTTTAATGACTTCTGCTTTCTCAAAATTATTCAACCCCTTCAGGGAAACATCTTTAGTACTTAGTAGTAACACCTTTTGCTGTTAAGACCTGAAAACTTCCCAAAACCTCTTTGGCTTATTTATGATTTGAGCGCTATATATATGATTTTTTTTTAATGTTTTTGAAAGAAGTCTCTTCTGCTCACCAAGGCTGCAATTATTTGATAAAAAATACAAAAAAAAACAGTAATATTGTGAAATATTATTACAATTTAAAACAGCGGTTTTCTATGTGAATATATAGAGAAGTGTAATTTATTCCTGTGCTCAAAGCTTAATTTACAGCATTTATTACTACAGTCTTCAGTGTCGCATAATCCTACAGAAATTAATTATTATAGTATGATGCTCAAGAAACATTTAGGATTATTATCCATTTTGAAAACAGTTTTTTACATTTTTATTTCAGGGTTTTTTGATGAATAGAAAGTTCAAAAGAACAGAATTGATCTGAAATGGAAAGCCTTTGTAACATTAATCACTCCCATTCAAAAGTTTGGGGTCAGTAAGAATTACATTTTTTATTTTTGGGGGAAAGTAATTAGAAAATACTTTTATTCATCAAGGAGTTAAATTGATCAAAAGTTACAGTAAAGACATTTATAATGTTAGAAAAGATTATATTTTAAATAAATGCTGTTCTTTTGAACTTTCTATTCATCATAGAATTTTGGGGGGGAAAATGTACACAACTGTTTTCAACATTTGAAAATAATAATTTATGTTTTTTGAGCATAAAATCAGCAAATTAGAATTATTTCTGAAGAATCATGTGACACTGAAAATGATGTGTAATCAGCAACAGTAATGATGTTGAAAATTCAGCTTTCAAATTACATTTTAAAATAGAAAACAGTCATTTCAAATTGTCATAATATTTCACAATATTACTGTTTGTCATTTTTTTTTCATCAAATAAAGCAGCCTTGGTGAGCAGAAGAGACTTCTTAGAGATCTTACTGATCTAAAACTTTTGACCGGTAGTATATATATATATATATATATATATATATATAATTACTTTAAAGTGGCATTCATTGCCAAGCTTAAAAATACAAATCATTTGTTAAAATGGATAAAAGCATTCAGAATTCTCTATGTTAGTTTTTAGTGACAAAGCTGCTATTTCTCAGTAATATCAGTATAGTGGTTTGCAAGAGTTTGTCTGTTTACAGCATGTGGTGAGCAGTGGGGTATGTTGGGGTGGTCCTATCAGTTGTGCAGTTGTTGAACTGCCATGCTGTGTGCATGTGTGTATAAGGTTGAGATCTTTTATACAAGAGGTGGGCACGTTTCTGTTGGCTGACGAGGAGTCCGGCCTCACCCATCAGGTTCATGCAGTCAGCTTTGTAGAGGACTCCGTCTACATGGAGTCGTCTGTCGACCCGTTTCTGCCCGTTTGTAACAGGTAAAGACCCCCCTTTCTGGGGTACAAGGTGCCAGTGCCACAATGGGATTTTAAATTGGATTTTAAGCTTAAAGAAATCTTCTTGACCAGTTTACAGTCAGGTGGTTAAATAAAATTGATTTCTTCTTCACTTTTACTTATTTGTTTTTCACCACATCCTTAAGGTATCTGCAGATGTCTAGATGGAGTTCTGCGAATTACCCTGTATTATTTGTTGCTTTGTGAATGCCATATCACCTTTGTTGCTTTGATGGGCTTTCCCCCCTTTAGCTACATAATATTTTTCATAGGTTTCACTCACTCAAACAAACATTGCTATGATAAGTTTTGTGTCTGAACCTGGAATTTGGATTGGTGGTGCTGAGTTGTTTAAACCTTCTCTGTGTTGGGTGAGTTTAACCTCACAAGAAACCTCTTGTTTCAGTATTGTTTCTCTCTTTCACCCTGTCTTTACCATCTGAACAGTGTTCTTGAAACATTTGTGGCTTTTTGCCCATGAAAACATTAGCTGAATGATTCCTGCTTTCCCATGTTGCTTATTTTCCATTTTCAGCAGCTCCACTGTCTTTGTATATTATCATGATGTCCAAAAGCATAACAAAATTGTTTTATTAAGTATAAATCCTACTGTATGCTCAAATGCCCATAAATGGAATACAAAAATACCAAAGATCAAATAATTGTCTATCACTGGGAATTTTCCTGAAATATTCCTTTTGTCATTAATTGCAACAATCCAGTGAGATTTTTGAATCACAAGGAGTCTGACAACAGACGGTATGGTCTACATGGATATCCACACTGATCTCACCATCATTGAGTCTGTCTGGGATTACATGGAGAAAAAAACTGAGACAGACTAAATCCAGAAGAACTGTGGCAATGTCTCCAAGACGCTTGAAGAAACCGTCCTGCAAATCTACCTGAAAAACTATGTGCAACTTTACCTTGGACAAAAACTGTTTTAAACGCAAAGGGTGGTCTCCATTTATGTTTTTTTATTTTGGGTGAATTTTTTAATTTATTTACTTCAAAATGTACCATTTTTAAAAAATTATTTCTATGTAAATTAATTACTATGTTTTTTTTAAACTACATTAAAATATCATTCCAATAAGTTCTTAGAGCTAAAACCTAAAGATGAAGTGACTGTCACCTGGTGTCTTATTTTGGCTTGTTTTAGAATGCTCTAAATTACAGTTTTTCCCATTCATTTCTATGGGTGCCCATTTTTGACCCAAATACAAGAATGAGGTTTTTTTTCACCCACTTTGTAGAATTGAGTCAAAAAAATTGTGTGTTCAGGAGGTAAACTTACTGTAGGAAAAGTAGCCAAGTCTTGTACCGCTCAGATCAAGGGAAGTATTTAAAAAAAAAAAATCAAAACTATTTTGCCCACATTTGTCCAGAATACGGTTTTAGGGTTAAAGCAGTTTTACACAAGTGTCTAAAATGTTTCACTGTAGCTTTGTAGAAAGGTTTCTTAAAGCATCTTGGAGACGTTGCTGCAGTTCATCTGGATTTAGTAGGTCTCAGTTTCTTCACGTAATCCCAGATGGAGATAATGGTGAGATCAGATCTCCGTGTGGATCATACCGGCTGTTGTCTCACTGGATTATTACAAATATTGGGAAAAGGAATGTTTGGAAATGTTAACTGATATTTCCTACAGACACACTTTTGTTTTTTTTAACAGTATGAACACTGTCTTAACAATCCTGTTGTTTCTCTTACTTTTGCTTTTCTACAGACACATGACCCAAGCTGACCTGAAAAACTCAACATTTTGGCTGAGGGCGAGTGTCGGTGCCACCGTGTTTGCCGTTCTTGGCTTCGCCATGTACAAAGCTCTCCTCAAGCAACGGTGATCAGTGCAACCAGTATGTTACAGCAACCCAAGGCCCTCTCAAAAAACTACGAAACACATTATCCCTCATTCCATCCTTATTTAATTTAGGACCGAAGACTCCTAGAAATAGTTAGCTACATTTTGTATAAAAACTGCCTTTCCCAAACCAAGTGTTATAGGAACTCGCCTCATCAGCCGTGTACTGGAACAGAACATCTACAGTATGGCAGGAGCTGTAATCGCGTCCTCATCTGATCTGACAGGAGGTTTTTATTGATGCACACTGATGTTTTCCTCAGGTCAGTGTAATTGGTGTGACTTAGATTGAAAAGAGACAGCAGATAGGTGAATGAACTCTTGTTTATATATGTATATATCTTACTGGACAATATAAGATTGTGTCTAGCTAGTGAACAAACCATATTTGAACTCTATCATTTTGACATTCGTCCTTTAGGGAGAAGCATTGAAATAAAGCCATTTCTCAAATGTAAAGGTCATTTTGCTCTTAGCACATCACAGCTGTGTTTATTAATTTATTAACCTTTTCTATGTTGTTTTTGGCATTGCTTGAAACATGCATAGAACAAGGGATTATTTTATGCAATATCTGGTTTTTATTTTAAGATGTATTTCTTTTCTTTTTTTCATACTACGCATGGCCTTTATAAAGATTATGCACAGGAAAAAAAAAACTTTTTATTTTCTGTAATGATATGGCATAACTAGGTTTGTTCCAAACCAGACTAAATAGTTCCTCCTTACTCCGTTACAAGGACTGTATGAAATTCTTCCCAACTAACAATCATGTAGAGACAAAGTCTTTTTGTCTGTCTAATGTTTTAGCTCTTATGCATATGTAACTTTCAATGCAATGCTCTCTGTTCAAAACCATGGGATTGTTGCACTTGTGGGTTTTCAAATATTTACAATAAATAATTGTGTGAATAAATCTGCCTGTTGTTTACTTCAGTGACATTGTTCCTACTTTGTTTTTTTTTGCATTACTATATCATGTATGCTCAAATAATTGTCCCCCCATAATAATAATAGTTAATAAATAATTTTTACTTACTATTTACTTACCTTTTAATTGACTTATTTATTTTATTTTCATGGCAGTTAAATACATTTCTATGAAACAAACTACTCAAATAACATTATAGTGAATATTGAAAGCCGTTATAGAAATACTTTAGTTTTTATGTAATGTATAGTCCCCCCGGAAAAATGAAATAAAAATTGAGAACTGCAAAGCAAATGAACAAGAACCTCCCCCATATGTTGGCAATTGACTGAGGACAGCATCCCATTATTCTACAAAAACCTGAAGTGAGGATGTGACGGTTTCAAGGGGAAGTCATGATGTTGCTTTATGTTAATGATAAAGTGTGAACACTTTCAGCTTCCAATACTAAGCATGAGCATGTCGACTGGAAGAGGAGTGCCGCCTCCGCTCTGCCAGGGCTTTCTGAAGAAACGGAAAGACAAAATGGTATGACTATAATGTACACATTGCTAGTGTTTCATGTCTGTCATTTGGAGGAATCATTTGTCTTTTAGACAGTCTAAAAAGTATTTGCGTTTTAAACATCATATTATCTAATTTATGATCTAATTAGTACTCATTAGTTAACATGCACGCTTAGAAAATGCGTTTTGCATCTATGAAATACAGGGTTGCAGTTCTTGTGACGTCGCTTGGTTTAAAATTTGTACTTATAAAAATTGTATTTATTTATATATGCTCTACTTAACTGTATGTGTACTTTTGATGTATCTGTGAAGCACTTTGGTCAACATTCGTGTTGTTAAAATGTGCTATAGAAATAAACTTTGACCTTGACCTGAGGGAATCTCTCTGCTCAGTAATTTAATATATTTTCCTCAGAAGCTTCGGTGGGTGACATACTGGTTCAGACTTTACAATACAACACTTTTTTTCTACACTAAAAAACATGGGAGTGCTGTAAGTATTTAAGTGTTTGATTTAATATTTTTATAGTGCATTTTAAATGGTCCTCAGAGGTCAGACTTTTTGTGTGTGTCTGTGTGTAATGTAATGTTTGAGATAAATAAAAAAGATGGACCACCTGTTGAAGAGCTCTGCTTTAAATTAAAAATGCAAATTATTGCTGTTTTGCTGAATATTCTTATTTGTAAGGTTATTAATCTGTTGTTTTTCTATAACCCCAACAGTTAGACCTCAGGGGACAATATTATATATATGAGGTAAAGTTGATTTGTAATATTATCTGAGTATCATTGTGCAGATGCTGGTAATCTGATTAGAAGGTCAAATAAGTGCTCATGTTAACAACATGTTTTAACAGGTTCAGTCTGTGCGGGAGGTAAACAGATCGGAGAACAATCGCTACCTATTTGAGATCACAATGAAAAATGGGAAGAAGAAAATGCTGGTGAGTTTCCATGTTAATCAGGAGATCGAGTGTCTATAATCTGTTTGAGGATGTGGTCTGCCATCAACCACTTGTTGAGACTAAGACAGGACTGTCATAATAGTTTCGTTTAAAAAGGAACATGCATTGCACTGTGAGTGAAGGAGTTATTATGAGTACCCTCTTTATGCCTCTTTAGTCCATAAACATTTGCAATCCATTTGTGAATCTTATGCTATAGGCTGCAGATACAGCTGATGTCAGGCAGGAGTGGATGGACCAGCTATGGAAAGCCATGCTGCTCAATGGCCCAGACAGATCTGGATCTGTCTCTAATGGGTACCGCTGCACTTTAATATGCTTCATGTCAGTGTTAGTATTTGTATGAGATTTATAACGCTCTGAATGTGTTGTGTGTGTGTTATTGAGATTAGGGAGCTGGTGCCAGATAACAACCCTGAAGCTCGGTCTAGCCAGTGTGAAGGATCAAGTACTGAGACCTGCAGCACTTCAATGGACAGCAGATGTCTCTCCATTGGTCAAGAATCATTCCAGTCTTTCACTGGTATTTCACATTCATGATTCTACTTTCTCCACTTCCACTTCCAGTTCCATGCTGACTTTTAATGCTTTTCTGTTATACCTTCTGTAATTCAAAACTGACACTCTTAAAGGGATACTCCACTTTTTTTTGGAAATAGTACTATGGAAGTCAATGAGACCAGAAACTGTCTGGTTACTGATATTCTTCTAAATATCAGAAATTCGGCTGAATTGATTAGAAAACGGTAAAACCCAACTGTTGGGTTTTAATGAGCCTATTTCCAAAAAAAGTGGAGTATCCCTTTAACGTTGACATGAAACAGAATTTGTGATTTTGTGAGTTTTTCTCCTGTGATAGTTTTCCTATTGTGACTTATTAACGTTAAACAGTTTCTCAAACAAGAAAAAAATGTAGGACGGGACTTGAATTTTTCCATCGCAAATTGATTGGATTGTTGGATAGTGGTGGTGTGTTATTGCTGTGACCTCGTGTGAGTGACAGGTTGTCACATCGAGCGAATGTTGATCCAAGAGGGAGGGGGAAACTTAGTCCAAATTGCAGGTTAACCACCACAACCAATTAATGTGTAAATTAAAGTGCTCATTATGTACATATTTAAAAATTTCTCTTAAAATGCGTCAAAATAACATTTATTGGGGTTTCTTCTAAGGTAGCATGTTTTTTTTACATGTTGATGACGTCATAGTCATCAAGAGGGAGCGTGGGTGATAATACACTCTTCTCATTTCTTATTTGTGCATCTTCGTTTCCTTTCCTCGCTTCCTTCCCTCGTGTCTCAGCTCCACCCCTGTAGGATGCGAGGGAAGGAAGCGAGGAAAGGAAACGAGGACGGAGGAATCGAAAAAAGCTTTTTTATATACAGTACATTGGAATACTTGATTACTCGAGTGTCATCAGCAGCGCTAAAAGGATCTGCCCTTATGTTGCTGAAGTTTGGTTATTTAATAAATTTATAATAAATAATAATAAAGATAGGCTAAACTGTTGAAATATGTGAGATGTGTGATTTATATAAACTCGTGACGTCACGCCCAGCACAGTGGAAGGGAGGGGGCGTGCTTAAAATGTTTTTTAAGTAGTAGTACATTTTGGTTTCATGATGACTGTAAGTTTAATAATAAAATGCCTTTATTATATTGTGAAAAAGCAATATTGCGTCATAGTTTTGGTGTAATGGAATTTCAAAGGAGAGATTGGAATCTCTAAGGTTTCATTAAAATATCTTCATTTGTGTTTTGAAGATTAAAGAGAGTGTAGTAAATTATGATGGAGCTTTCATTTTTGGGTGAACTATCACTTTAAGATATATTTAGCAGATTAATATTCTTGCCAACCTTGTGTCTGGGAAACATCACAGGCAATAAAATTCACTGAAATTAATTTATGAATGTCTATGAAGAAAAACTCTTACAATAATTTGCGTCCTCAGATGCTGATGAGTCTCAAGAAATTCTGCGCACAGACAGTGTACTGGAGCAAAGTACTGAGGAGTTTATACTGACTGACTATGAATATGACGTTCTACCAGCGCGAAAACGTATGTGTAATGAACTTTTTTTTTCATGAATGCTTTGTGAAATATAATATAGTATTTTAACTTAGAAAGTTCACTTGCCTGGCCAGCTGTATACTTATTGGTAAAACTGAATGAAATAGTTTGAAACTATTACTCTTGATGATTGATGATGATTTCTAATGATTGATTGCAGTTGCTGAAGAAGTCATCTATGACACTCCCCCTTCAAAATGGTCAACCAATGAGGGAGAGCATGGCAAGTGTCCACACACTCAAATCATACATTTACACTGTAAACATTCATATATTTCGCACAGAGTGCTGTAATTGTTCTCCGTTTTACAGAGGTGACTGAAAGCATCTATGATGTCCCAAACGCCTTGATTAGGAAACTGACTGAACATACAATTGGTAAGATCTGGAAATTACAGGTTGATGGGCATTTTTACAATATTTGTGTTTGGCTCTGTCACTCTTAAAAATAAAGTTTCCAATAGCGGGATTTCACAGCGGTAACATGGAGGAACTGGTTTTGGTTCCCCAAAGAACCTTTCAGTGAACAAGGAAAGGTTTTAAAAGAACTATTTTTTAATAATAAAGAAAATTTTTCTACTATAAAGAAGCTTTTGAAGTAACACCATGGATGTTAAACGTTCTTCATGGAACCATTGATGCCAATAAGTAACCTTTATTTTTAAAAGTGTAGAGAATATAGGATATTCAGTGTCCTGTCTTCTTTTATAAGTGTGTCAGACTCAATAGACTAATATTTGCAAAATTATGTATTTAAAAATGAAATGTACTTACCAAAGCCAGTTAATGTGTGATATTTTTTTCCCCCCACAGAATCTCACAGCAGCAGTAGTGTGAGTCCTGAGAGTGATGATCTTCTAAATGACATGATAGCATGTTTGGATAGTGAATCTGCTGCTTGGGTCAAGACTGC